ATAATAAAAAAAGACGCTGAACTGTAAGATTAAGTTGCTGAAGAAGTCCCAATAAAGGGACGAAACGTCCAATTTAGTTAAATTAAGTTCTACTTCTTTTCATGTCCAAGTTCCCTATGAACTTTTATCATCAAGAATTATAATTTTGGACGAGAGAAAATACTGAATTAATATTAAATATTCTAGAAAAAATAAAAAAAAAATTTCTATTAAGCTTACTTCACAATAATGAAAAAAAGAAAGGTACATATACTTGTTAGTTCTGTCGAGATAAAATCTAGATACCAGCGACATCAGAGATACACGCAGCGTCGCTATTGTAGATTACTACACTACTACAGCCAAAGGAATCCGTATCTATGTGAACTATGTGAAATTTCAATCCGCGTTTTTTCGCAAACAGCTAAATACCTACGCCAAGTTTAAGGGCCCAATGAATTTTCTCATGGAATACTACAAGTGTGCAAAATTTGAAAAAAATCTAAAGTGTGGCTCTCTGATCATTTCCTTGTAAAACCTAGACTTTAAGGGGAAAAGAAATGATACTAATCATCTATAAAAATATTAAAACTAATCATGTAATCATTTATACTCAAGCGTATTTGCGTGTAAAAATATTCTAGAAACTATGATGCATCAGGAGGGTTGGGCTGGCTCGTGTCGAAGAGTAGGCCAAGAATCATCCCCTCCACCAAAAGACCTCCGGTTCCCATAAAAACACGGAGGGCATTGTCCTAGCGCTTTCATTCGCATTTTTTTCTTTAATTATTAGCTTTCATTCTCGTTCATATTCTTGATTAGTAACTTCATTAATTTTTGCTTTAAGTATTTTTTTTGTATCTTCGAAATGAAATTCTCTTCGATTTCATATCCCAATATAAATTTGAGTGAATTGGTGGAGATCCAACACATCGACCAGCCCAAGCATTCCTTTTTTTTGTTTGTTTCGTCAAGAGGAAAAACTTTCGTAGACCCCCTGGGCCCGGTACCCAGGGGAGTGTCGGATTCAACCCTTCTGAGGATATATCTCAGGATCAGTCTGCCTACCGACTAAAAAACCTCTCGATAATGTTACTTACTAACATGCAAAGGAGGGGTAGGTGGAATTGAGCTCTAGCGTAATACACATTCGTCCGGTACTCCTCCCAGGTGAGTCAGACCGGATTCACCTGGCTCACACTCATCCATTCTCATTCATACCTATCTACATCTCACGCACTCGACAGGGGTTAATAAACCTCTGGAGGAGAAGCTACGACTACTATATATTAAGTCGGTGCGTATGAAATGAGCCGTTTATTTTGAAAGTAGCCTAAGTCCATTTATACTTAAATTGAGATAATTAAGGTTTTGTGTTTCAATGCAATTAAAAATATTCATACAGAATACCAATGAGTTATGCTGCTTAAGTGTATCTAAAGGTGTTAAATTTACAGTTCYYATTAAAATAATGGCAATTATTAAGTGAATAATATGCGTTTTCTTACCAAGAATGGAGTCAGGCCTCTTTCAAAATTAACAACCAGATTCGTTATAAAATTTGAAGGAACCGAAGTCCATTCAACATAATTTAAGATGCTTCAAATTAAAAAAAAACAATATTCATTTTATTTTACATATCTTTATAACATTTTAAAAACATAAATTATGCGATTCAAAACATTTTTTACAAACATAAATTACAAAACAATTTTCTACTCATCTACATTTTGTGTATGTATCGTGACGTATATCGTAATAAGTCAATTATGTCCTTGAATTTTGCGGTTGTAATTTGTTTGATATCTTTATACAGTGGTGTTAATACAATATTTTCGAACTTTCTTGGTCTACCCCGACGTGGTAATAAATTCAGGATTTAAAAATTTTCGTTCTAATTCATTAATGTCTTATAGAAAATTTTATACAATTCATTTTTGACAAAACGCATCCAACATATTTTAAACCAGTTTATTGGTTCTCCGTTAGAATTCTATATCCTTTTAAAAATTGCTTCTTTTAATAATGTTATTAATATAAAATCTTTTTGTGTTTCATTTTATGTACAATAAAGTTATTACCTTTCCGACACTTTTCAATAATATTGTAATAATCTCGGGGGACAAACAGTAAATTATTTTTTTTTAATGCCATTTCTACCACACAAAAATCTCTATCATTTGGTAAAAACGAATGTCCTGATATTATAAATATGTGGTCTATGATTTCCACATTATTTTCAATAAAAAATAAAACACCCATGGGTGAAAGAACTTCTAAAATTTAGTATTAAATTTTAAGTTTTATATTTAATTGTAAGTCCATAATATGTATATTGCGTAAATTTTGTTTAACTGCATTAATTAAACGTACTGATTATTCAACTAATGCAACTGTCCAAAAACTAAGGTTCACTTGTTAAATACTAATTAATTAAAATTACCTTCAAGACTGCCCTCGGACATTATCAATGATAAATATCTTAATTTAAGTGTAAATGGACTTAGGCCACTTTCAGAATAAACGCCTAAGTTATTCAACTTACTCTGAAAACTTATGTGCTCAGAATTACCGTATTTACTCGGAATATAAGTAATCTTAAATGCTTTATTGATAGATAATTTGAAGTTGTACATATGACCATGGTTAACCGGAAATAATTGAAAAATGGAGTTAGGCCACTTCCAAAATAAACGGTTCAAATGTCGGATTTTTAAGTGAATATATAAAACTTCATATATTTTTTCAAAATCTGTTTATTTAATCAAAATAAACTCTATTTGTTTAAATACACTTTTCCCAACGAGATTATAATAACAAAGATTTCTGTCTTAATAGTCCCGGCAACAAAAGGAGAACTTGGAAAATTTAGCGGCCTTGTTAAAATTTGATATAATGGTAATTCGACGACGCTGAATCGAGTGG